ATGAACTAAATATCCAGCATGAATGAAAAAAAATCAGTTTCGATTCACGTCTAAATATCCATAATCAATGAACTAAAATTCCAGAATGAATGAACAACATAATGCTGTTGAGGGAATTGAAACTGATTTTTTTTTTTAAGTGGGATGCGCGTTTTTAATAAAATGACGTCGTTTTTGCATCAGTATGCACCATGCATGGTACATACGGATGCACAGCATAACGATCCTTCACATATGAGAGAAAAATCAATCGTTATACCTTGCACTACGGCACACAGTGCACTGTGCGCCTCGCGCTTCCCGAAACGACGTCGTTTTGGAATGCGCGGTAGGAAGTTGACATGATTATGTATATTTGTTTATACAATTATGTATATTTTTTATACAATTATGTACATTTTTTTTATATACAATTATATACATTCGAATCAGGAAATTTTTGGGTATTATGTTAAGAGTTGATGTGTATTATGTTGAAAGTTTATGTTTATTATGTATTATGTTAAATTATATGTATTATGTTAAATTATGTGTATTATCTTTTAAAAAAGAGTATGTGTGTTTTGTTATATAATTATGTAAATTCATGTATACAATTATGTGTATTCTAGTATAACATTATGTACATTTTTGAACATGAGATTTTTTTTAAGGAAAATTAACTGCCAAACACTGGATAGCGAAATTTGAAAAAAAAAATTGAAACGACGTCGTTTTGCATCTGGGCGCACAATGCAACGCGCGCCGTGGTGCAGGATATAAATTGCCGAGAAAAATGGTCACTCAAACATGTTTCTCCGTGTGCACCATGCATGGTGTACATGGATGCAAAAGACGTCGTTTTGACTAAAAACGCGCATCCAACTTTTAAAAAAAAAAAATCAATTTCGATTCCCGTCAACAACATTATTTTGTGCATAATTTCTGAATGTATAGTTATGAAATTATGGATGTATAGTTATGCAATTCTGGATTTATAGTTATGAAATTATGGATGTGTAGTTATGCAATTTTGAATGTATAGTTATGAAGTTATGCAATTCTGGATTTATAGTTATGAAGTTATGGATGTGTAGTTATGCAATTCTGGATGTATAGTAATGAAGTTATGGATGTATAGTTATGCAATTCTGGAAGTATAGTTATGCAATTCTGATCTGGATGTATAGGAATGGAATTCTGGATGTATAATTATGAAATTATGGATGTGTAGTTATGCAATTCTGAATTTTTTTATTTTTTTAAGTCGACGTCAAAACGACGTCGTTTTTGCACCCGTGTGCACCATGCATGGTGCACACAGATGCACAACATAACGACTCTTAAAAAGATAAATTATATCGTGGACCACGGTCCACTTTGTATGATGCATTATAATTTAAAATAACGTTGTTTTATATTAAGTGTCAGTTAGCACATTATGTTTACTTTATCATGTATTATGTTTATAATATTTGATCTATATGTTCATATAACGAACCTACTAAACTAAATGTACATTATATGTATTTTCTGTTCACTCTATAGTATGTTCATATTGTTTATTCTATATGTTCATAAAAACAAAGTTTAATTTACATAATCCTTACACTACAGATGCATCATGTTTAATAACATTTATCATGTATTATATTCATAATATTTGTTCTATACCATTATAAATCTAAAACTTAATGTACACAAACACTAAACTACAGGTACATCACATCTATTTTTATTCGTTCATAGTATGTTCATAATATTCATTTTATATATTCATAAAAACAAAGCTTAATATACATAAAATTACATTACATGAGCATCATGTTTAATAACATTCATCCACTAGACCATTACTATGTTCATAATGTTTGTATTATATGATCATAGACTCTAAACTTTAATGTACATAAACACTATTTTAAAGTAATACATTTATGTACTGATGTGTTTAATTCTCCCTGTCAAAACGTATTTTCTCTGGCCCGGAAGTATGGGAGTAAAATTGGGTAGGTCTGACTGAGTTAGGGGTGGGCAAACTTCGGTGAAAGTTCGGTTAACCGACCGAACCGATGAAGTTCGGTTAACCGTTTTCGAACCGAACTTTTTCGGTTCGGTTAATGGTTAAAGGAATGTCAAAACTTCGGTTAACGGTTAATTCGGTTCGAAAGTGTCGGTTAACCGAATTAACCGAACGGTTAACCGAAGTTTTTAAAATATATATAAATAAATAAATATAAACACTTAAATACTAATTTTATAATAAACTAATACTATTATACTAATACCCTAACTAAACTAACTTAGACTAATACCCTAACTAAACTCTTAGTTAATATTGAATACTAGTATACTACGCAGTAAGTCAGTAACCCACTAACCCTAAGCCCTAAATCATCTCCGAGACTCCGACTCCCACAGACCACAGACCACATCTCCTTCCCCCGACCCCCATCGTCTGATCGATCAGCGGCTCAGCGCTCCACCAGCGTCCGGCGGCCAACCACCACCAGGCGTCACTCCGGCGTCAGCGAGTCAGGGCAGCGTTCTTCTCCGTCCGTCTTCGCCAATCGCCTGCTCCGTCTGCTCGTCCACCGGCAGAGTCCTCCGTCTGCTCGTCCACCGCCCACCACTTCACGGCAGAGTCCTCCAGAGTACTATACAAGGTATGCTTTTCTTTTTTTTAAATAAATATTTTCTAGACTATTAATAGTTTAATACTTGATTGTTAAAAATGTTAACAAGTTTTGTTGTGTGAATTTTTTTTTTGTTGCTAATAATAAAATTTTATTTTTTCACTGTATGTGTTCCAGTGTATGTGTTCTAAGCTCTTTTGACGGTTAATAGTTTAATACTTTCCACTTTTCCAGTGTATGTGTTCTAAGCTCTATTGAGTATTGAGTATTGACTGTTTCCACTTGTTCTATTAGGGGTGAATATATACATTGTTCTATTACTCTGTTTGTATGTTCAATGTTCCAGTGTATAGGGGTGTATATTCTTATTCTATACTTCTAGAAAAAAAAAAAGGAAGATAAAAGAGCTGCATATGTTTGTTGTAGTGTATGTTTGTGTTTAATTGTTCCACTGTATACTTTTATATATGTAATGTATTTCTATATATGTAATGTGTTTGATTTTTAATTGTTCTTTTAATGTTATTTAATTTGTAGATGTCAATGGAAGATATTTCTCCTTCTTTTACGGCTCCGTCATTCGATGAAGTTGCTATTTCATCAACAAGTGGGACCATAGATGCAAGTCAAGTTTCAAAAAAGAGAAAAACAATAAAACCAAGGTCAGAAGTTTGGTCTCACTTTGAAAAAATTACTTCGTCTTCCGGAGTTACATCATGCAAATGTATTCATTGTGGGAAAGAATATGCTTGTGATCCAAAGAAAAATGGAACCGCATCATTAAAATATCACATGAATGCATGCAATCAAAATCCCGATAATGTTGATAAGTCACAAGCTCAAATTGTTTTGCAAAATAAGGGTAATGAAGGGGAAGGGGTTATTTCATCTTGGAAATTCGATCAAGAAGCAATTAGAAAAGCCCTAGCAAATATGATTGTGAAGTGTGAACTACCCTTTAGGTTTGTGGAGAGTGAAGGTTTGAAGGAATTTGTTGAAGTTGCATGTCCTAGGTTTCACATTCCTTCAAGAACTACAATCACAAGAGACATTTATCAACTTTATTTAGATGAGAGGATCAAAGTGAGACAATTGTTGAGGAACTCATGTAATAGAGTTTGTTTAACTACGGATACATGGACATCTTTGCAAAGAATTAATTACATGTGTCTCACGGCTCATTTTATTGATGATAAGTGGAATATGCATAAGAAAGTCATAAATTTTTGTCAAATTTCAAGTCATAAAGGTGATGCTATTGGAAAGTTGATTGAAAAATGCTTGCTTTCTTGGGGGGTTGATAAGTTGTTCACTATTACGGTTGATAATGCAAGTGCAAATGATGTTGCTATTGGTTATTTGCAAAAAAAGTTTGGGAGTAAACATGGAAATATTTTGAATGGGAAATATATGCATATGAGGTGTGTTGCACATATAGTGAATTTGATTGTGAATGAAGGTTTGAAACTTTTGAATAAGTCGGTTGCTCGTGTTAGAGGGGCGGTGAGATATGTAAGGCAATCTCCATCTAGATTGCAAAGGTTTAAACAATGTGTTGAAAGTCAAAATATAGATAGCAAAAGTTTGTTGTGCCTTGATGTTAGTACTCGTTGGAATTCAACATATTTGATGCTAAATTGTGCTCAAAAATTTGAAAATGCTTTCTATATGTTTGATTTACAAGATGAGAATTTTAAAGATGATCTTGAATCGGGGGATGGTATTCCTATTGAAAGTGATTGGAAAGTTGTTAGGGACTTGGTAAAATTCTTGGAGCACTTTTATGAGCTTACAAATAGAGTTTTCGGGACTTCTTATGTTACTTCCAATTGCTTGTTTGATGAGATTTGTGAAATTGATTGTCTTTTGAGAGAGTGCAAAGCTTCGGATGAGAATGAATTTAGTTTGATGGCAATGAAGATGAAAGATAAATTTCACAAATATTGGGGGAGCATTGACAAGTTGAATATGCTAATTTTTGTTGCCATTATTCTTGATCCTAGACACAAGTTTTGCTATGTTGAATTTGCTTTGAAAGATATGTTTGAGGGTACAAAAGGTGAGGATATGGCAACCAAGGTTAAAGATGCGGTGTATGAATTGTTTAATGCTTATAAGCCTTCAAATAGCATTGTGTCATCTAGTTCCACTCCAACATCAAGTTCAAATATAGGAGAATGTCAAGCTAGGATGAAAAAGCGTATGCAAGAGAAATTTGTAAAGCACAAACTTCAATCAGGTAGTGGTGGGGATCAAATGTCGGAATTGGATAAGTATCTCAGTGAAGCTATGGAGCCAGTGACGGATGATTTTAATATTTTGTTGTGGTGGAAAGTTAATAGCCCTAGATTTCTTTATTTGTCATTATTGGCTCGAGATGTGCTAGCTATTCCAATATCCACTGTTGCTTCTGAGTCTACCTTTAGTACTGGAGGACGTGTTCTTGATTCCTTTAGGAGTTCTTTAACTCCTAGAATGGCTCAAGCTCTTGTGTGCTATCAAGATTGGATAAAAAATTCAACACCTTCATTGGATGTTTTTGAAGAGCTTCAAGAATTAAATGACTTTGAAAGTGTTGAAAATGGTATGTAAATTTTATTCCTTTTGTTTATAAGTTTACTTTCATCACACAAATAAAAATTTTAATATATTATTTATTTATCTTTTATCTTTTAGATTCTTCATGGAATGCAATGGAACCCACCTTGTGAATTGTGAGTAAGGTGTTTGTTCTTGGATTTCTAAGGTAAAAAATAATATTTGCAAGTAGTTGTATTAGTTAGTTTATTTATTATTTGGTTAAGTGGTTAATTATTATTTATACTTACACTTTTTAATATGTAGGAGTGATGGAGTAAACATCATGGACATTAGGATGGAGTGATGGAAAATTGGAAATCATGGGATGAACTTTGATTTTATTTTTGCATGTTTTTGTAATGTTGTAATCTTTATGAAGACATTAATTTATGGTTTGGACTATGGACTATGGACTATGGACTATGGATTATGGATTATGGACTATGAATTATGAACTTATGGTGTTGTTTTTGTATATTTTGATATGAATTTATTATGATATGTATTTTATTTTAGTTAGATTTATTATTTTAGGAGTTATTTTTAAGATTTTCAATTTTAGGGTTAAAAATTTCGGTTAATCGGTTAACCGACCGATTAACCGAAAAAAAGTTCGGTTCGGTTAATTCGGTAGAGCAAACTTCGGTTCGGTTAACGGTTAAAGAAAAAAAAACTTCGGTTAATTCGGTTCGGTTAAAACGGTTCGGTTAACCGAACGGTTAACCGATTGAACACCCCTAGGTCTGAGTAATTGAATTTTATGAAAAGTCCCATCATTCAATAATAAAAGCGCCTTATATAGGCCAGTTTTGAGATACATGTTGAGGATCTGGCATGTCCTCCGCGTGGTGGATGTAGGTTGGCCGGTCAGGGATGCATTGCCAAGTGTTTAATCTAAGGGAAAAAGGTAGACGGAACGTGATTAAACAATGCGCCTAGAGCCTCGTGCTCAGAGAAACGGCCAATGAGGCAACTCACATTCCCGATCTCGAAGGTGAATGTCTGGGTCGGTCTGACTGGGTGATCAAGAAGTCTCGACGGTCACGTAGTCTTCCTGGTGAAGAACCGGGCTGGTCAGTAACCGCTCAGCTAATTGGCCTATCCGGTCAGAGCGTATATACATTTCATGTACCTATAGCTCTATTTTAAATTTTGCACACACACACACACACACACACACACACACACACACACACATATATATATATATATATTAGAAAACCGTTGTTAAAGTTTTTTAATGATATATTTTTTATATATTAATTTTATTTGTAAAAAAAAAAAAGTTAAAAACATTTTTAAGGAAAAAAAAAAAAAAAAAAAAAAAAGAGAATGTGTTAAGTGTATGTAGCAACATGCACCCTTATTCACGATATAACTATTGGAGTTCTTCCTTGTCTATAGAGAGGAGAACCAAGTGACAAACAAGTTAGCTAGCATATAGTTGCTTGCTTATTGATGATAGAATAGGAGTGGAGAAAATCTCCAATTAAAAACTTGGTCATATTAATAGTCAACGAAAGTAAGCATATAAAATAACACACATTATTGTGGTGCACTATACCATCTTCCTTATGGTTCAACAGGCTGAAAGTGAAGGCAAGTAGTTGGACTATATGGGTATATAAAATAATAAAAATGACACCATCGACAACGACCTTATCCTAATCAAACCAACAAAAAATGGCACAACTGGAGCCAACTGCCGACCAAAACGTTGTACACATAAAAAAAAAAAAAACATGTAGAAAGTAGACGTAGCCGCCCTCCTTTTAGGGATGGCAACGGAGCGAGGTGGAGGCGGGAAGTGTACTCCCCGTCCCGTTCCTGAAACTCCAACTCCGTTCCCGTCCCCGTTTCCGTCCCCATTCCCTAGCAGGGAATTAAAAATAGTCTCCATCCCTGTCCTCGCGGGAAATTAAGCGAAGACGGGAAATCTCCATTACCGATCAACTCTTAATTAAAGAATTTAAATTAACATAATTTTTAATTTTAAAAACTAAACACCTATATCATAATTCAAAAAAAAAATATCATAATTTAAAAAATTAATATATATATATATATATATATATATATATATATATATATATATATATTGGAACGGGACACATTGTCATCCCTACCTGCTTCCATATACTGCTAGCCTGCTAGGCTACTCAAATAAATGTGTTGAAGAGGATGGGATGGATAGGCTACAAACTACAAAGATTTTGTAAATCTTGTGACAAAGAACATGACCCCATCTTGACCACACAACAACTATTAAATCAATCCCTGCATGTGATACAAGGGCCACATTCAGTGTAATTGATAGGATCCAAGTCACAGGCAAATATTATAAAAGCACATGTATCTATCTTTAAAGCTCATACCCTTTCAACCACATGGCTCGTGGCAAACCATGATCCAAGGTCATAAAATATAAAGTTAATGCTTAGAGTTGGGGCAACTCTTCATCCAATTACCTTCTTAATTTAAATCGATCCGCTTATGAAAATGTTTCATAAATAATTATTAGTTAATTGAGTTAGATGGTTTAACTAGTTGATAGCATTAGTTTATTATAAAAAAGTGTTTAGTAAATTAGCTGTTTAGCTAATTACATACAAAATGACTTTATCAAAAAAGTTGATCAAAAATTACTTTGAGCAGCTTTTTGAATTTTAACATTTTGAAACAATAAGTGTATATTGATTGTTTAACCAAATCAAGCAGTTAATAGTGGCCAAATAAGCCAAAATTGGTTCATAAGCTAATTATGTTACCAAACAAGACCTATATTCCTTTAGAGGCTAGAAAAATAGAGCTTTATTCAGTGTGCACTTTTACGTAACAACTATGAATTTTGCAAGCTAGAATAACAAAGCAAGCTTCATCGAGAACATATATCCATGTGGACTTTTCCATTAACTAAGGAAATTACAAAATTGCCCATAGAGTTAACAATAGGGAACAAATTATGATATGATAGAAGGACTAAATTTTCTAAAACATGAACAAATTATAACGTGGACAAGAAAACTAAATTTTGTAGAACTGTGAAAATCAATATCAAATCGTGACAAAATTATTTATCCATATAGTGACAAAATGATGAGTAAGAATTAGCAGCTAAAACCTTTTAAGAATTTTAAGACAAAAACTTGTGTAAGACCGTCTCACAAGTCTTAATCCATGAGACGGGTCAGATATGTGATTAATAAGGTCAAAGATCCAACTCATTAATCAAAGATTTAATCCGTCTCACGAATTGAGACCCGTCAGACGGTCTCACACATGTGAGACCCTAGGACCTATAAACAGCAAGAATTGCACCTACTTCATCCAAACCAATCATACATCTTGAACATGTTCTTACCATAGCCTGAAAGTCCAGTACAATAATAGGTAATGGTTAACAGAGGCAGCAACTGAGATTGTTAGGCAAAAATGCAAAATCAGCACAAAGGTGGCTAAAAGGCACATATTATAGTAAAAAGGAAAAAAGAAAAGTCCAAAGTTAAAGATTATAAGCAATATATGAAGCATAAGAACCACAACTAAAACTAAAGCAATACAAGAATTGGAGGATTAAAATGAAAAAGATGAGATGTGGCAAACAGCTAGCTAGCTTATTGGACAGCCACAACAAAATGCACTCACAAAAAGGACCATCTTTCACATCATATCTCAAACCAAATCCATCCTTTCAAAATTTCACCACTTGAAATAGGCACATGAAATTTGGACATATAGTATAGTAAATGAGAAAACCATAAAAACTCCTATGTTAGGAAAACTTCTTTTTGGAATTCTGTTCTAATCATGACCCAATCACAACTAAGTTCAAAATTCCCTAAGTAGATTATGATTGAAACAAAGCAACTATGATCCCCTAACCATCTAGGCCATTACAACAATCCCTAAGACTTAACCTGACTGGACTTTAAAAAAAAAAAAAAAAATTGTTCCACAAGATGCTGTAAACTACTCACCACTAGCTACCCTATATCCACAGGCTTCATTACTCGGGATTCCATCCTTTCCTCCTACCTTTTGCCGCCTCATCTCCAAAACCTTTCTGTGAGAATTGGAATGCACTGCAGCCGAAAAGGTAGGGCTATTCGCGGGGCGATACTCTGGCAGGAGCCTACCAGACTTGTACCGCACCCCACAAGCATTACACAACGTCTTTGGCCCCATGGGACCAGCCCGCCATTGTGGAGTCTTATCAACCCCGCAATGCTGGCACCTCCTTCCTATGGTAGGAGTCTCCCCCGCAGCAGTTGCTGGTAGCGCTTTGAATGACGACTGTTGCCTATGGTTCTTGTTTTTCACATGGTTGACCCACAGGCAGTTCCTGAGGGGCAAGTACCCAATACCAGTTTCCCGTCTTTTCCTGTTCTTGCTCCTCGGGCGCGTAGGATAGTTAACCGGCACTCGCAGGCTGTCATAGCAGCTGATCATACCATTGCCACCGCTATTGCTATTGCTATTACTATTGCTGGTACTACTGCTATTCTCCAAAACAGACACCGGGCTCTTGTGATCGAATAACGGGTTTTCCCCAAAAATGCCAAAACATGTCTCAACACCCGGGAATGCATCCTTGTTTGACAACCACTCCAGTTCTTCCTCCATATCTTCCTGGAAAAACATAACCCATCTCAGTACAAAGCACTATATCAGTATATCTTCCTTCATTTGAATTCCACTAAAAAAACAATCTTTTAGGATGGGTGCATTTCAATATTTCATAGATGAATTCACACCAAACACCAACATTTAATCAATTCATTCCTTGAATTCCCCAAAAGTTTAATTGTAATATCTCTCATTTTCTTGGAAATTAATTAATTAATTAATTAATTAATAATAATAATAAATTGGGGATTAAGCAAATTTGGGAATCTAATTCACAATTCACAAAGTTTGAAATTTGAGTTGGAAATTCCCAGGTGGGGATTTATGAAATTGGACAAATTGGGGAAGCCGTTAAAAAGGGGCAAAAGTGTCATTTCTGCGCACGGAAAATGCACCGCATGTGAGCGTTGGAACAGATAAGGGCATTAATTTATACAGCTCAGATATCGTGATAACCGAGGGACCCAACAATAATCTCGCCTTTAAAAAGTTTTCAAAACTGCCCCAAAAATATTATTTTTTTTCAAAACTGCCCCCATTTCCGTTTTGTCTAGTTCCGCAAGTCCATGCTTCTTACAGTAACGTTTAGGGTTCCAGGGACAAAACGGTCAAACACAAAAAAAAATAATTCAATTTTCAAATGCCCACCATTCAAAGTTTATTTACAGAAAATGACACTCGCGTGCAGAAATGGGACAGAGAGCTCTGACTCGGCCGCCTCGTGTGGTGACCGTACGGGTCAACTCGTCCGAGTCGACTCACCTCGTCTCCGAGTCACGCCTATTCCGACCACACAACCGGGCGAACCCCACCGGACTCGTCCGAGTCAAGCCAAAACGCGGAGAGTAGCAGGCACAAACACACAGAAAAAGGAGAAATCGGAAGGAGCGAGACTTACAGGGAAGTCATCAGGGTTAACGGATTTTGATGACCCCAAGGAAGACGAAACGACAGGTGAAGTGCCAATGGCGGCGGCGTGGTTCGCGTCCTTCTCGCCTTCACCGTCGTCCAAGGTAAAGTTCAGAAGGTCATCGCCGTCGACCATGAAACACGCGTCCAATTTCATTTCCGCAAGAGAAGAGATACTGCACTGGTCTGGGTTTGGTTGCGGAGATATAGAGAGAGAGGGGGGGAAAATATGAGTGTAGAGAGAGAGAGAGAGGTTTATTTCTCTTTCCTCTCTCTTTCTTTAAGGAGAGAGAGAGAGAGAGAAACGAGGGTGTATTATTATGAATCAAAATGGGCAGGACGGCAACAGGGTGGACAATTTTTTTTTTATTTTTTTCCTTATCGGAGAAATTCTTTCCTACTTTGCCCATAGTCTTTCCTATGTGTGTACCAGCACCCTTTTTTACCCTTTATGGAGAATAGCACAAATATTTATTGTAATTATAACTTTTTTTGGAATGTGTCAAATTTATTTCTTACCAATTTATCAATTTTATTATCGACTCACAATTTGACTATACATAGTTTTTTTAATATTGATTTTGTTTCAAATTTGATTATCTAATTAAATATTAATTTAGTAAATATTAAATTTAAAGGTAATAATATAAAAAATTTGGTTATTCACATTTCCATTAGTGATGAACCCAATTTGTATATAGCAATAACAAACCAATTTTTAGAGTTAATTCTACTTTCGTCATAGGTTTATAAGTGATAATTCATTTTTAGTTATTTTTTAAAAAGAGTAAATACCATCTATGGTCCCTCGAGTTTAGTGGCATCGCCATCAACGGTCCCTAACTTTCGTATTTACCGGGCGTCATCCTCCGAGTTGCCAAAAGTGGCCTACAAGGGTCCTTCCGTCACTTTGTCCCGTTTGAGACGTCAAAATGGAGGGCAAATTAGTCACTTCACATTATGCGAATGTTTTAATGCTTTTTACATTTAGGTTCGACGATATCATAAGCCTCAGCAAGAACCCTAATCTTCTTCATCTTCTTCATCTTCTTCAACAATGTCATCTTCTTCAACTACTTCAAGGAGGAGATATAATTTTGGAGATTCCATACACAGTCATGGGTGTGAGTGCGGGAATCAAGTGGTGCTTCGAACGTCTTGGACAGATCGCAATCCGGGTAGGAGGTTTTGGCAATGCTCTGAATCCGGTCAGGTAATCTTAGAATTTGTAATATCGAATTTATAAATTTTTGAATTCAGTTTCATTTTTCCAGATTTGAATTTTATAAATTCAATTTTGTATTTTTTTTTTGTTTTTTTGATTTTAGGGAGGCAACGGTTGTGGTTTCTTTGATTGGGCAGATCCTCCAATGTGTTCACGGGCAATCAGTATAATACCCGGACTTTTGAAGAGGATAAATAGAGACAAAGAAGAGATGGAGAAGTTAAAGGCTATGCTAGAAGTTGCTACTAAGACAAATGCAGTCTTGTCTATGAAATATAAGTGTTGCAAATTCGCAATTGTAATCATCTTTGCAATTGGATTCGTAGTTCATGTGTTTAGCAAACGTAGTTCTCAATCGATGGCAGTTGTCAAAATGCTTCCAGGCAATTAATGATGTAACCTGATTTGGACCATTTAATGCAATGTGTTTGAAGTATGTTTAGTTAAGCACCATCTTATTGTACTGTCTTTGTTGCCTGTATAGGTAAGAACAATGATATTGAAGTGTGTTTGGAGTGTGTTTAGTCAAGAAACCTTAACAATAACATAAGCAGAATAGGACTAAACTGAGCAACCAGAGAAACTGAGCCAATAGGACTAAACTGAGCCAATTGAGCAACCATTTCATTTCTGCCAAAGTCATATTCAATTGTGCCAAAATAAGACTAAACTGCCAAAGTTACTGCTATACAAAAAAGAGTAACATACAACTGTCTTGTCTAACTGATCCAGCAGTTTTGGCTACCAAAATACATAACTTAAACAGTACTGTTAATCAATGCTTATAGGATCATCACTTGTGTTCTTGAATTTTGATTTCATCTTGCCACGAGTGTTATATTTCCTCCATTGAGTTGCATTGGCTTGCAGCTTCTTCTTTGTTGGTGGAGTCACTTGTTGGCTATCTTCTTCTTCTCCAACAGTAGGTGGCTGACTAGTAATTGGTATTTCCTCAGCATCCACTTGTGGTTGCATTGTTTGGTTTTGCAGCACTTGAGACACCACTGCATCAATATCAATGTTTGCCAACCAATTATCATCTTCATCTTCAAGTGTTGCATCAGGCAGTGTAGGAACCACCATTTTCTTTGTTTCTTGTGCAGTTTCAGATTCTGTAGCTTGACTGTTTGTAGGTTTGTTTGCCTTTGCCCTAACTCTTTTCTTTGGATTGGCCTAGGACAGAAATATCACAGTTAGATCACAACTAAATTTAAGCTATAAGAAAATTTAAAACAGGTTATAAGCCATAACACTTACCAATCTCTCCCTAACAGCAGGATCTTCAGGGCATTTTCTTTTGTTGTGGCCTTCCTTCTTGCATTTGGTACAATGCATCTTCACATGGCTTCTTTTCAAATGGATACCATCTTTGGAGACCTCATCACCTGCCTTCTTTTTCTCAGATTTGGATACCTCAGCAACCCCCTTCTTTTTCCCAGATGTGGATATCTCATCCATTCCCTTCTTTCTTGCTTTTTTGGGTCTTCCTGGCTTGGCAGTGTATACAGGTGGAAGAGGTGGCTTTCTATCAGTTTCAGGCCACTCAGTAGGACCTGCCATAGGCTTGATGCTTCCTCCATAGGCCTTCAAGTATGTTTGTGTGAAATAACATTGGTGGACATAGTCATTCACTGGACCCTTACCATGCTTCATCCAAATGGCACTTATAGCATGTCTACATGGAATACCAGTCAAGTCCCAACTCCTACAAGTACATGTCATTCTACCCAAGTCAACTTCATGCTGCTCAAATTCACTATAAATCACCCCACGTGTCTCAAACAAGTTGTCATCACTCTGTATGACTGTATACCCATTGGCTTGTTTTTCATACTGAGCTATTTTCTTCATAATCCTAGGGCATATAGGGCCAGTCCATTTCCATGCCGCTTTCCTACACTGATACAGCCTATGCATAATTTTCTTCCTCAATGTTTCAAGGCAGCTAATTAAAGGCTTCTCTCTAGCATCTAATATAACAGAATTATAACACTCACAAATGTTATTGACCAAGATATCACAATGCGCATTTGTATTAAAATGTGACCTGGACCACTCTGAAGGGTGTTTTTCAACAAGCCATTCATATGCCTTAGAGTCAATGGTCTTCATCTTCTTCATTGCAGCTGTGAAGGTGTTAATTGTTGTGGCCCTAGCAGCATCCCATAACCCATCTTTAATTGCCTTTCCAGTGAAGCCAGCTAGTTTCATATTCCCATGTAAATGTCTCACACAGAATCTGTGAGTCACAGCTGGAAGAACTTCCTCAAATGTAGGGAGTAAACCCTTTTGCTTATCTGCCAAACAGTTAGGTAAACACTTAGAAATAATTGAATGCAAAACAATGGTAAGCTTTTAACTGTATAAGATATGAATGTTAATTCCAGTTCACATACCTGAAATAAATGTTAATTCCAGTTCATCAGCTGGAGTTATTGCAAGATCTGACTTAAGATGTTTTAAAAACCAAATCCAACTTTCCTTATTCTCTCCTTCTACATGTGCATAAGCAAGAGGAAAGACACTATCATTTCCATCCACTCCAATAGCTAACAGCAACTGACCCCCATGCAATCCCTTCAAATGACACCCATCCACTCCAATAATAGGCCTACAGTACTTATAGCCTATTCTACATGCTTCCCAACACATGTAAAATCTCTTGAACCTTCTATTGCCATCATCTAGTTTATCACCCAACTTCACATGGTATTTGCTTCCTGGATTTGTCCTGTCAATCTCCAAGCAGTAACTCCATAGCTTATTAAAGCATTTTTCTTCTTCACCATAAATGGCAGCCCTTGCTTTCCTCATTGCCCTCCATGCTTGCCTTCTGGATATTGAGATTCCATCAGTAGTTGACACCTTTTTAAGGAATTCAGAAGCTGTCCAGTTGGAGTTTGATGCAACCTCATTCTTCCACCTTTTTGCAATTGTAGTTGAGTTAGCCATGTAGTTTATGTTATTCCAACAACAGCCATCATGCTTGTCATTGATTGCTGTAATTCTCCAGTCATTTTCTGAGGCTTGTTTCCTTAGTGTAATCCTAAAAGGACATTCAGTTTCATTGCACTCAACAATGCACCTAACCTTATCATTTTTGATGTACAGAATTTCCTTTCCTTTATTCATTGCATAATTATAAATTGCCTCCTTAAATTCTGCCTTAGAACCAAATGTTAATCCAAGACAGAATGTAGGTGTTGCCATCTCAATTTTCCCTTTAAACATTGGCAGTTGATATTCTTTTGCCTCTTCATTATCACTGTCTTTCTCACTCCCCTCATCTGAAAATTTTATCTCCAAATCTTCATTAACTTGAACTCCCAAAGCAGTTCCAGCATCATCTAACCCACCAAACTCAGCAGTTGGATCAACAAATTGCTCAAACTCTATGTCATCTGAATCCACAGAACTCTCATCTGACTCAGCATCCTCCTCACTTTCCCATTCAGCTTCACTTTCAGGATCAGCATCCTCAACACCCTCAGCATCCTCAACATCCTCATCACCATCAACATCACCCTCATGCACAACCCAAATCTCTATTTCATTATGCACCTCTATTTCTTTGACTAAATCCCATACTTCACAATCTGAAACTATCTCTATCAACCCATTTGATTGATTCACAAACATCTTCATGCTATCTATTATTTCATAACCCAAACACTTAACCTTATCTCTAAGTGTGAACAATCCCCACTCATTCACATCAATGTTAGAGAAACTAGTAGTCTGCCCTCCAACATAACTTGGTTTATGACTTTTATTTATCCTACCACCATGCCTTAAATTCAACACAAAACCACCACCAGGAACATTACCTGTACAGCAAAGTAGCCACAAATAGGCTCATTACACACTGTTATATAAGCAGGCAGAAATGTGGATTTCAAATGGTTTACTATCCCAAGACAAGTGGTCCCTACACATAATATAATACACATAAAGGCAATACACATCATTTAACTTTTAACCCAGCCACAACATATGTGCTTTAAACCCTATGTGGTCCCCAATTTCAAGCCAACAAATCCACAATTATTTCTAGAACAAAAGGACACACTACCATGTGCTTTCAACCCTCTGTGGTCCCCAA